TGACTGTAGCCAATGTTGTCAACCAAAGTTTTGAAATCCTCTATGCTTCCCTCTATCAATTTGGAATTATCAACTGAATTAAAAGAGCAAATGTCTCCCGGAGGGAGAAGGAAAATGGCTCAGGTGGCTGAATACAGGGCAGTCCACCCCTGTGGAGTCCTTGCGGCTCTCTGAGGTTGGTTGTTTTCTTGCAAACGTTTCTTGCTAGCACTGAAGAGGTTACCTAGCCAGGTATTGAAACATTTGCAAGAAGATAACTAAGCTCAGAGGACCCCAAGTTCTCCACATTTGAACCCTGAGCCACACATATTCTCTTCTATTGGTCAGCCCACCCCTGCGAGCTCTCTCTTGCAATCAGCATGCCCAGCCCCCCGCAGGATGCCCTGAGTTTCACTTGAGGGGCTTTACCTGCCCATCGTATGTATTGTAGACAACAATAAAAGCAATTTAGAGGTTTGGTTGATTATTAGAGACTGCTGAGTTCGCAACCACTCTATCACAAAGTCAAAATAGTCACCAATTTTAGAGTCATTCAATGGCTTTGTGTAGACAGGGAGCCTTCCTTGCCAGTCATGAGGCACAGACGTGGAGACCCAATATTTATACTGCTGTTCGGCAATGGCAGTCTGGCAGTTGAAATGTCTGTATGCAGCGGTCAGCGGGAGGAAGGGGCAGGCGTTTTCAGCCAGCGCAGGGACCTTGAAACAGATCCACACCCCAACTCAAGAGCTTGGAAGACTCCTCCTGAGGTGACCGCAATCCTCCTGGTGAGTTCCTATTGAAGTGTACTGAACAATGAGACAATCATTCGCAACTCTTGTCAGGGAGTCTTCTTCTATCTCGAGATGTGAAGCATATTTTTCCACCAGGGCAGAATACTTTGCCTGCTCTCAAATGCCCGGTGCCTCCCTTCATCCACACTTTTGCTCCTGTGGCCTCAAACTGTCTTTTCCCCTTTCCTTTCCTCTGGGCAGGGTGTTCCCTTTGTCACAGGAGGGGAGGGGATTTTGCGCAGGATCAGTTGCGCCGCTCTCTCTCCTGCTGTGAGGCTCCCCTCAGGTCTTTCTGGGCCTAGCTGGAGAAGCATTTCTTGGTGCCCAGGGTCTACTGCATCCCCCCCACCGCACCTCTATTCCCAGTAACACCAAGTCTGTTGTTTTTTATTGACATTGATGTCGCTGGGCACTCTCGGGTCTGCTCCTGCACCTTCCTCATTGCAACCACCAGCAGGAAAGCATCAAGGTCTGACGTCCACACATGGAGCGTGCGCACCCTCTCTCCTGGGGGAGGTTTTGATATTGGGCATAGACTAGGTGGGGGTCAACAAAGCGTTGATGGAGCTTCAGGATGGCTTGATCCAATAGTGGTCTCCTCCCCTTCAACCATTTGTGGCCAGAGAGGAGGTGGACTGGCTGCCTTGGGAGGCCTTCCCTGTGAAAGCCCAGCGCCAATATCCCAAGAGATCTCCAAAGATTGGCTTTGCCTCACAGTGCAGAGAGTAGCCGAGTCCCAGATCCACTTGATCACCTTCATGGGGATCCTTGAGCCTTGTTAGTATTATTTTCCTGATCATGCAGTGACTGACTCTTACTGCCAAAGGGAAGACAAATCTTGAGAGGTTAACACAATTTAAGAAATGCATTCCTGGCAAATAGAACGGGTAGAAATGGAAGCAGTAATAGACTTCATTTATTTGGG